CTGAACTATGTAGGATGGTGCCGCAGATGGACATTGTGCAGCCAAAGCTGACAAAAGGCTGGTCTCATTCTCTCCCTCTTTGGAGCTGCTTGCTCCTTGCTTCTGCTGTTCCACAGAGCACTACTGGGCAGATACCTCAAGTCGCTTTGAGCTGGGTTAGAAATGACCCCTCCCAACATCTCCCTGGGGTCTTCCCAGGGCCTGGAGCAAGTGGGCAGAGATACTCTGCTACAGTCAGTGGGCAGGAGTGAGCTGATGCTGGCTGTGACCACTTGCGCTTGAACCCCCTGAGCAGCCGAGACTGGCAAAGGGTGAGGTTTGCAGCATGGAAAGCTCAGGGCTGAGAGTTGTTCTTTAAATGTGTCTTGGAGAAAGCTGTTGGTTAACTTAGCTCTGTACAGGGCCAGGGCCAGAGCAGTGATGAGCCCGAAGATTTATTAGCTTCAGCATGAACATCCCTATTCTTTGAGGTAGACCTTGATTGAAGTAGACCATTGTATCACATGTGACACTTTGGATCACTGCCACGTCAGATCCCATTCACAGCCCTGCCTTGTAGGACCTTTTTCCTCCCTGTCTTCCATCTGCCCCCCCTGTTGTTGCTTGTACACCCACTCCAGTGCTGTGCTTAGAGCCAACTGGGGGGAAACAGCAGCTCAGCATAGAGGAGCTGAGCACTCAGCGGATGGATGCTGCAGAATTAAAGCTGCTGCTAGTCTGCTTTGGTTTCTCTTTGTTTCTTTCTGGTGTGGATTAGCAGAACTGTCTGGCCTCTCTCCCCTTCTGTCTTTTGCTATTAGGTCCCCTCAGTTGGAGAAGACCTCTTCAGTGTACTAGGAGCATACGCTATTCCACATCAAGATAAATCTTATCGGTAGTGCAGGGGAAAATAACCTCTTAATGAAGAGGACTCAGGAGAGTTGGGTTTACAAACCTTCTCTTCAGAGCCCAGCTAGGAAAGTACTCCCAGCCCTATTGTAACTTTTGTAATTAAAGACAAATTAGATCAACAATAGATGGTTGTGCTTCCCTCTAGGAGATGCTTGGAAGGAGTTGTCTTAGCAAATGAACTGATCGATGGATATTTTCTGTTCTAATGATACAGAAAACATTATGAGTCAGATATGTTAAGCCCAGACCTGGCCTGCTTTTTAGTTTGGCTTTTCAGTTGAGTTTTGTTTTGGAGGAAGGTTTCCCCCTAATTACAGGCAGGAGCAGCAAAGGAGCAGGTGAAGGACAGCAAAGTGGCCTTTGGTAAGCTTTGATGTGGGTGGTGTGCTGCCTTTCTCCCTGTGCTCTGATTTTTTGGCTGGCTGCTGTTTTGTGGATTGGATAATATTAATTTATGGTTTTATTTTCTGGTGCTTTCTTTCCTTGTTGCCCTTCTCCGTTAGGCCGTCTGTCCTTTGGACAGCTTTCAATGGGCACTGTGGGCTGCAATTCATCTCTGAAGCTTCGAGCTGGTACATCTCACCCCTCCATTTAACTCTTTGTCACCTGCCAGTGCTGGGACTTGTGCTGTTTGTCATCCGAAACCTCTGCAATGTGCAGGGCAGCCGCCTTCCCCCATGGAGATGATGTAGCTGGGATATTGCCGACGTGAATCTGCGACTGGGCCTGGGCTGAGCTTTCTGAGACCGTGGCTGGCAAGGCAGCCTGCCTTACCTCTGCCTGCCTGATAGCTTTTGTCAGCTCACACCTCATGCTCTCACGCGTCCTTTCGGCGCTGAGTAAAGCCCTGTTGCATCTTTGGCAGGATGTTCTCGAGAACGAGCTCTGGCATTTAACGTGCCTGACTCTGACAGGCTGCTCTCGGTGGGGTTTCCGTTATCTTGGCCAGCCGTGTCTAACCCCACCGCTCGCCTCCCGAAGCGCTGAAGGAGCTGTCTCCCAGCTATTGAGAGATTCAAGTCAGGTGGGACCAGCACAGGCGCAGCGATGTCCTGGCACAGCTCCCGGAGAGCCTGGGAGAGAGGAGCTGCGGTTGTCCCTTTGACATCCTCCGTGCTGGGAGCTGCCTTTCAGCAGGGATGGGGCAAACCTCAAGTGTCTCTTTCTCCCTCCCCAAAACGAGGGGATCAGTGCCAGGCCCTGGGTGCTGGTGCTCTGGCTGTGCCTGCTGCAGGAGGGTGGGAAGGCAGTGGGACCGAGGGAACACAGGAACGAGCCTCTTGGAAGAAAAGCCAAACCCACCAGGAAGAAGTTTTATTTTTACACACCCATTATTTCTCTTGCGCTTACTGACACTGGGATTTGCCATTGCCTTTAGTTTTTCTGTAATAAACAAGCAGTTGCCATGGGAACCCTGCTATTAGTTAAGGCACAAATGTATTGTCATGGGGAGAATAGCTGTAATATTTTTTGTACTGGGGAGCAGCTCTGCTCCATGTGGTGGAATGTGGGTGGGCTTCTGCACCGGGTCAGGTGGGACAGGACTGTCAGGGGGTGGAGAGCAATAAGCAGCAGGGCTTCCTTCCTCTGAACTCTTGAGTTCTGCAGAACAAAATGTAAAGCATCTGGGTGGAAAAAAGAAAGTGTGATCCCTGAGCTATTGCACTGTTTGGCATGAGGGCTGCCTGCTGCTCGGCTTGGTCTCCGGTGGTTTCTCCCATTGCAACATGCTCCAGTCCCGTTGCCAAGCAATGCGGCGTGCTGGGCTCGGCACAGTCGGAGGCACAGGAGCAGGAGCCGGGCAGGGGGACACTGTGGGTTCAGCCAGTGTCTGTGTGCTGGAGGCCAAATTCCCAAGTGATGGAGCAGAGAGGAGCGTGCTGGGGCAGGTCAAGCGCTTTGCAGGCCACCGAGGGGTCATCCAACTTCTCTGTAAGTTTGGGCAGTGCCGAAGCTGCAGGTATGCTGCTTCTGAAAGGGAGAGCAGGTGGGTCTGGTCCTCTCCTCCTGCTCGGAGATGTCCCTGAACCTGGGGGTGGTGCTGGGCATGATCTAGCATGGGGGCTGTGCTCGGTGAGCCACTTTGGTTGTAATAAAACTCTTCTATCTCCAGCCCTCCCACCCGCAGTGACCGGGAGCTGTCGGCCTCCCCGCTCCTCAGAGGTTGTGTTTGCAAAGGCTGATGGCACGGGTGCTGCAGGGGAGCTGGTGCTCAAGGGCTCATGCTCAGCCCGCTCATCCAGCGCGTCTCGGCTGCGCCGGGCGTGCGTGGCCGTTCGGAGCTGTTGCTGCCGGCTACCCATGCCCGCCCATGTGCTTTTTCCGTGTTTTTGGCAGCTGCAAGAATTGCCAAGCTTTGTGTGGCAGGGACTGAGCTCTGCCCTGCGATGGGCAGCAGGAGGGAGCGTGGCGGGCTGTTCCCATCGCAGGCGTGCCCGTGCCAAATGCACGCCTTTAATGCTAGAGCTCAAACCCAGCCAAGTGCTCCTTTCCCCTTGGCCTGGGCACATCCTCTGCTGCTGGGGTTAAGTGCAGCCCGCAGCCCGCCGCTGTGCCCTGCGGCTCTCCGTGCCACGAGCCTCCGGTACCTCTGGCTTGGAGGTTGAACCACGTGTTGGAGGGATCGCAGGCTCCAGCAGCAGCCACGGGAGTTCAGGCCCTCAATGAGTGACCCGGCCCCACATGAATACTGCTTTTCTTGCAAGCTTTATCTCGACATATATTTTTTTATAAGCCTTTTTTCAGTCAGCTGGAGATAGAGAGGGATAAATCTGTTACGTTCTCTGAAAGTACAGCTGTCCAACGACTCTTATTGATATATCAGCAACTGCTGGAATACCAGATTTATGACTTCTGGGCTCTGGAAAGTGCCAGCAGAAGGTCTGGGAGCTTTGGGAGAAAAATTACCTTAAAGGGAAACATTGGTGCAGTGG